CCATCAGTACAGGAGCAGTGTCTTCATCTCTCTTGATCTGGATCATTTGATTATTAATAAGCACGACAGTAATGCACAGAATTGTGGCATTCCTCAAGGTACAGCTAAATCATCATCATCCTCCGACGGCCGTCCAAGGCTAGCCAACGCCTCTGGCGATGAATCGATGGACTGCGAACAAGCAGAAGCAGAATCTGTGGAGAAGTCAGATATTGAGCTACCCAACAATAGTCTCAATGGCACTACTACGACTTCTACAGTTGAAAAACTGAGAAAACGGTTTCTTGATAAGATCGGTATCGTCAAGAATATCACGTAGATGGTAGATGATAAAACCACGATGTCAACAGCTTTAAAACAACTGGAAAATATTCAGCTAATGCTAAAGAAGAGCTGCTCTTCAACGCACGGTATTCCTCTCAGAACAAGCCCAGTCGAGAAGAAGTTAAAGATCACGTCAACGGAATACCATCAAGTATTTCACAAGAAATTGCCCCCTAGACGACGCTGGAAAAAGAAGACTCCGAAGGCTGATGTGATTTTCATTGAAGAAGACAGCAATGACGATGTTGATGATGATGATGCTAAGAGGAAGGTTAGCTTTATGTTTAATGATAAAGTGAGTCGAGAAAGGAAGATCAGATTGAGATTGTTTGATTTCGATGTTTGTGAAATATCAAACATTTTTCTTGTATCTACTGGGAAACTGCAGACGACTGTTTCAACAGCTTATCGGAAACACAATTGAGTTTTTTACTCGCATCTGTATTATGCCCTAAAAATTCATGATAGGCTTTCCAGCCATCAAGTTACGGAAGCCTAGCTTTTCACTATCTATCAATGACTGTTTTCTAATGAACCAATACAATTTTTTTTCAGGCAACCAACTTTTTCGTTGCAGACTTAACTGCGAGTGGTGACGGAGAGCAGAACACTGTTTCGCAGGATGATGAAGCAAACACTACCCGTTTAGATCTTGAAACGCTAGGGTTAGGCCATAAGTTCTCTGATAAATACGGTTAGTTTAAACTTTAATTCGCATTGGAATTTTGCTGTTATCAGGAACGGAAGCGCTAAGCTGCCAGTGAAACAGCTGAAAGGTGAACCCACCGCAAGACTGTTAAGAAGAACCTTTTAACTGGACTTTGCATTATAAATAAATCTTTAAGCACTCTCTTGCTTATGTTTTAAAGGTTCTGGATCGAAAGCAGAAAACTAGATATTATTTCGATCCCATGAATGGGCGTGTACACACCATTTTTAGCACCTCAGTTCCTAAGAGCAAACTGATAGAATTGATCGATGACATCAGGTGAAATATTTTTGACTCAGTGTTTTCCTTTTTATTTTGATGCATGCAGACAAAACATACTTATGTAATTGCTGTATTTTGTTTGACTCTGCAGTGCCATTGCTGATCTCAAAACGGGATGGAATTGCAAGTCATGGCTATGTGTTGAACCACTACATTACACACAGACCGATAGCTATAACTATGGTGTGATTGTATGTCTTGTGAGTAGCATAATCACTTGCTAAAGCTCACTTTAATAGGACTGCTTCCTGGTTTCGAATGTATTAAATTTCTCTTTGTTTGTTTTAAGTTTGCTCGGTGTTTGTGTGAGGGGTTGGATATCAATGGAAGTTACGATGTGGACATGGAAAGGGAAAGAATAACGTCTGTCATATTTGGCTCGTGCCGATGATGACCTTGATTAGTAAGTTTTGATGGTGTCAAATATCATTGTTTCTTAAACGCCGCAACACTCTCTTTGACGTCCCATATATTTTGTTCAATTATAGGAGAAATACCGCGGTCTGTAAGATTTGCAAAGACGACGATGGAGAGGATTGGCTCGGGTGCGATAGCTGTGGCCAGTTTTTCCATGCAAGTTGTGCCTTTCGCGGAGACGCTTACGCAACATTTCACCTGCCCTTAGGGTGGCTTCTTGTCAGAACAAGTAGAGTTAAAATTTTAAAGCTGACTATAAAAATGAACCAGATGATGAACTTAATGTCATGTACAGACCTTAATTTGCAAGATAAGAAATACAGTCCTTGGTAGTCAATTAAGATAGATTTTCACGAGCGTCAATGGTGCAGAATCGTAACTTGATGGAGCCAACAGTGGACAACATCCCAGAATTCAAACTTTGTGATTTTTTCTCGGCTTCAAGCTCAGTGAACGCTAAGTCAGTTGTTCAATTGAATAGGAAGAAAGACATTTCGAACGGAAAACAGAATTATTTGCACGTGTGGATCTTTCGAGGAAAGGTCTCCTAAACGAGTGGTCTTGATTATAAATATTTAAGGAATGGTAAATACATTAGCCTTAACATGGCTGTTTCTCGAAGCTCAGTGTTTTCCTACTTGCCTTTTTTCCACGTGAATCGAGGGCGATTGAATAGATATAATATGCAGTAAAAGAACTTCAGCTGATAGAAATTTTAAATTTCTTATCTTAGGCTGTGGATACAAAATTCAAGTGAAAAGGAAGCCAACTGTGATTAATGCTTTTTGTTAAGATACGTTTTTTTTTGTCACACAACAAGTTACATAACGTTAATATCATTCTTCTTGATGCCTTTCCCGGTGTCCCCAATGCCTTTCCCGATGCCTCCGTTGGTTAATAGAGCATTAAAAGTATTGTTCCAGTTAAAGCTTGAGGAAAATTGCTTAACTTTTTAAGTAGCGAAGTGTAACTTGGTAACATTTCGGCTTTACAACACGATTGTTTTCTGCAACTACAAAACGTACATTTAATTCTTCTTGGTACCTTTCAGATGCCACCGATGCCTTCATTGTTTATTAAAGTAGTAAAAGATATGTTTACAATCAACACTTTTGAAAAATTGCTTAACATTTTATTTAGCGAAGTAAACTGTTTACATTTCGGCTTTACAACACGATTGTTTCCTGATACTACAAATGATCTGTCTCTATATGAATTATTAATGTTGTTTCACCGCTGACCACTCGTATTTGGGTCTTTTTTCCTTTCCCCGCTCGTCGCCCGTGATGTAGTAACTCCCAACTGAATTCAAGCTAGTGCGTCGTTAAATTGTCTTGTCTCTCGCAGAAGAAAGATGTCGTCATCGCCTAGGTCGGAGAATGTAGAGGATTCACCCAGCGATAGAACCTTTGAGGAACTTCACAAGCATATTAATGACGTCCACAACATTCTGAAGCGGGAGACAAACAAGCTTCGCAGGGAGAAGGAAGCTTTTGACGAGGTGGCAAAGAAGCTTGAACATGTTCACTTCTCGAAGATTTTGAAACTGAATGTCGGAGGCCATATGTTCACGACAAGTCTAGAGACCATGACTAAAGATCCAGGTAATTTGACCGTTACTTAAAATATTACAAAGTGATATCTGTTAAATGAACGTCGAAAGGTCAGGAAAGTTTCGGTGATCTTTGTGAAGACGTATTCCGAGAACATGGTTTTTAAAACTACGAAAGCCAAATGCTGATGGTTCTATTGTTTGGTAGCCGAAAATATAAACAGTAAGGAGGTAACAATGTACTAAAGAAGAGAAATGAAGAATGAAGAACAACTACTAGTCCGACAAATTTTACATAAAATGAGAACCGTGACGGAAGCTGAAACTTTCACTTTCAAAAGGTTTGGCTCGAGAATTCACTCATGCGCAAACGAACGATTCAGTCTTCTGCTTTTATTCAAAGGTGCTCCTAAATTAATAGAGGAAACCAGTTTGCCATGTATGGAATTGACTGAATAAATTCCATAAAGGAAGTTGCTGGTGTTCGATTATTTGGTGGGCAGACAAACGCTAAAGGTGCAAATATAAACAGCCCGAATATTTTATGATTCGTGACGGAGGTGACACTTCAACTTTTAAAGGGTTTGGCTAAAGGAATCACTCATTCACTCGCAAATTAACGACTCAACTAGAAGTGGTTCACTAAACAGTGTACAAGCACGTATTTGACATAAGCCGATTTCTTGGCGAAATATGCTCCTTATTGCAGGTTCCATGTTACACGCCATGTTTTCAAGCAGATTTGAAACAAAACCTGGTGAGGATGGATCTTACTTTATTGATCGAGACGGAACCCACTTCCGATACATCCTGAATTATCTGCGCACGGGGGAGCTCATCGTCCCTAATGACGAGATCATTCGCAGAGAACTGCTGGCAGAGGCCAAATTTTATCAGGTCGAAGGAATGATAAACGAGCTGGAACCAACGCCATCAGCAGATCCAATCCCTGTAGCTGTAGTTCAACCGTTCAAGGATTCAGTGATTCTCTCGTCCAGTCAGGGGCAGACTTTGATGAATTGGTTGAAGAATACACCGGGCTTTTCCTACAGCGATGAGCTTTTGTTGTACCGAGCTTCCAGAAATGGTTGGTATTCTTCCAACTTTCACTCCTGTTGTGATTACAAAGGACCAACAGTTACAGTGATCAAGAGTGGAAATAACATATTTGGAGGATATACTGAGCAAAGTTGGCATAGTAAGTTCTAAACACTGATCTAGTTCTCTCCTTATATCTTTTCTCAAATTCTTGGCAGAAAATTACGACAAGTAAACTCAAATAATTAATGCAAACAGAGTATTTGAAAAGGCATAAATGTCCCCCAATATTTGAGTGCACAGAGGAGATTTGTTAACTTGTTACAAATTCCCACCTTGAGGATTTGAAGCACATCAAAATTTTGACAACAAATGCAATCAACAGTTAGATTCCATTTTAATTTGTCATTGTTCGGTCAAAGAGGACATCAAAATGAGTAAAGAACAGGAAAGAGCGAATGAGCTATTGTGTTTCTGAATCAAGCACTAAGTTTGACGTCATATTACGCAACACAGGCACTTGCTGAAACATCTTCAACGCTGTTTCGAGTGTGACTAATGTTTGCGTGTCGCGGCTCACGCCTTTTGAGTTGCGGCTTTCCAAAGGTTGCAATTCATTTAAAATTGTCGTGACGTGCTACCACAAGTAAAACACCATTGTTTCCAAGGGACTCTCCTTTCTTCGGCCTTAAAAATTGAGAGACCCTCTTGGACGTGCATCAAAAAGAATATAACTTCAAAAGTAATGTAAATTCCTCGCGAGGCTTCTATGTTTCTTAAAGTATTGTTGTCTTAAGTCGTTGCAAAAATAGGATCTTTCGCTCTAGGAAACGGAAAGTAAGGGACCTTGGGAATGTGATAAACGAAATCGAGTTCAAAATAAGTGCTTGTAAGGGGTCGTCAAAATTCCAGAGCTATTTCGGAAAATTGATTCAAATTTGAGCATCGGGCTGGACAAAAAGAAAAAAAAAATACATCAATTGTGTGGTGACGTCCTCTCATATGACCGTGCTCTTTGAGATTTTAAGCTACCATCATTCGCACAACGCGTACATTTAGCTCATTGCACAACACCATTCCTTACCCAACACTGAGGCTCCACTCAAAGAAAGTGGTGACCAGAAATTGGATAGCAGAGCAAAAAAATTAACATTGTCAGATTGTGTAGGTATTAACTTTAACTGGTTGGCTTGTTCTTTTGTTTAGGTAATGGCTCATACCAAAGAGCACAAAACTCGTTTCTGTTCAGTCTTGTCAACCCGAGTGGTCTGTCACCAACAAAGATGCCTTTGAAGAGTGGAAAAGAAGGAAATGCTATGTATTGTGACGAAAGCTATGGACCAATATTTGGAGGTGGAAGTTTTCATCATGATCTTTGTATTTTCAATGTACCAAACTCTAGCAATTGCTCTACATATTTGAATATCGCTTACCAATGTCCATCAGGACAAAATACTAACACGTTTTTAACAGGAGGTAAGACATTCACTGTGAGTGAAATGGAAGTTTATAGGCTATAGACGTAAAACGAGCTTTTCCTCGACTGAACCGAGAACAGCTTGTAAACTGCCTCTCGTTCATTTTATTTTACAAGTTATAGTTGCACGAATACTGTTGACTTGAGAAACAGAAAAATCAAGACCGTAGAAAAAATAGTAATGGAAAAGATCGTAATGTGTTTTCGTTTAGTTTGATGAGTTGCTGAGTTTTGGAAATAATTTTTAAAATCTGATTATTGAGATCTTTCCTCTGTCTATAACGTAGATGATGGTGCGCAAATATACATGTTTGCACTTTTGATCACAAACAAATGTTTGTTGAACTTAGGTGTTAAACCATAGATATCAATCAATAAAATAAAATCAATAATCATAAAAACAAACAAATAAAAAACAAAAAAATCAAACAGAGATTCTTTCCCATACTTTTGTTTTTGTTATAGCCTGGTTCTACTTCCCTTTCTCAAAAGCCACGACACTTTGTATCCACCACAGGTGACTTTTTCGACCATAATGCTACAATATTGGAACGGTATATGACAAGGTAGGGGGGGTTGGGAGGAAGCTATTCTTATATTCTCTCAAACGAAAACAGTCGAAATGATGCTCTCTAAACCTGTTGCAAAGCAATCTCACAGGACATTGTCAGCGAATAGTTCCATTGCACAACGACGAGCATTTTGCGCCGTCACTTTGTGTTTTCAAGAAAAACATGGCGGTCACCGTGGTGAATTGCGAGATTCTGTCAAGCTGGTTAGTTTTGATTTACAAAACTGAAATAAAGGTGTGAATTGGTCACCGTCAAGAGAATCTTAGGATAATCTTCCGAGTATTAGTCCTTCGCCAAGGGAAAAAAAATAATGAGGCAGTTAGCATGCCTTTAACATGACGGCGAGTGGTGGTGCAAAGTTTAGCCGTTGTTTAACAAAACCGCCTCCTAAACAATCCTCAATTTAGCTGAACTTTTTATATAAACATTTATTATTGTGAACAGTGTCAAGAGGCTAAAAGCTAACAGTAGAAGGACATTTACTTAATTAAATCAACCCTCTCATAACGAAAGCCCGAGACTTTTTTCCCCCAAACGCTTTCAAACCTAGACGACTGCAGATTCTTTACACAGCGACGTCAAAAGACCAACACGTCACGTACCTGGTGACCGTGCTGACAAAAAAAAAACAAAAATTACTGCGCCAGAAGTAAAGAAAGTGATGTCCTAAGAGTCGCCGCAAAGATCTAGTGACTTAAGTTCCGCGAAGATTTGTTCTTGGAAATTTAGCATGAGTTTTTCAATTTTGAAATTTTCATGTCTTAATCTTCTCCATTATCAACCATCCTTGTTCCCCAATAACAGTTTATTTTTACCACTTCCATGCGTTCTACCCTAGCAAACTAGTCTTTTGAGCTTTCCTTTGATTTAACGTTAACTTTGAAAGTTGCAAAAATAACTGAGTATTGTGACGTAGCTCCCTTCTGTTCTGAAAATTAAAGCTTCTCATCTTGGTGAAAATTCAGCTAGAAAGCTTGGACTCAAAGGCTTTCTTCTATGAAAAGAATCTTATGATCTTCTACGGAGTAAAACTTCGTGAGAGTACATATGTGTTTGCTAGGTGAGGAGTTCGTATTGATTTCCATTCAAGGTATCGTTCTGATATCGCAAACATTTAGCATGTCCAGGTTTGTGCCATTAATAAATCTGGAAAACTACTTAAATTCTCTGTGTATTTCGTCGACTTTTGTCAAATTGTTCGTTCTCTTGAAGACGCCAAAACCAGATGTTCCCAAGTACATACCGACAAGCACAATATCCCACGGGTTTCATGGAAGCGAGCAAAGGATGGCACCTCTATATTGTTCAGTAACATTCTTAAGCAAAAGACTTGGTTTTTTCATAATCGTAGCTCTCAAGAGGTGGGCACGAACACACCAGATGTTGGTCGCCATATCTGTCGTCCACTCGTGAACACGTTGGCCAGAATTTTGCAGTTCCCTTTAACCAGGGCTGGCGAAACAACCACACGAAATGTCAGTATGAGTTGCAAACTTTCCGAAGGTGATGGAAATGGAAAGGGTAACCCTTTTGCTGCCCCTTCCCCCCAAACCTCCAGAAAATCTTACACTCAGGGTAAAAGAGTATACTTCTATCAAATTTTACAAAAGACGTCTTGATAGCCTTCTGTTCATTCAAGAGAGAAACGGTGAGAAACATTTCGCTTGACCTCAGTATTACGGTAGGTTTTTGTTCTACTCTAACAATTTTCGTGGAAGCAAAGATGTAAGATGATTGACGGCGGGTCAAGATTGCTTAACAGCTGTCTGTGCACGAAATTACTAAGGTGAGAAGTGCTGCGGCACAGAGAAGCGTGACAAGTCACGGAGCACAAGTGAAGCAACACAAATGCTGCGTGACACGAAAATAAAGTTTTAACAATTAAACATTCTGTACTCACAGCGGGGAAGGCAGCAACTTCTCGACTGTAAGGTCTGTCCCATAATTCTGCAGTGACTACATCCTGGGTGTGTGGGGCATTCTGTAGATGATTGAAGACAAGATTATATGAATCGTTCTTCAGAGGAGCGTCGTAACGAAAGAACTTGTCCATGTAACGAACGAAAATTGTTGAAAGGCAAGTCCAGAAATAGTTTACAGTAGTTCCGCTCTCTTTCGATGAGGAATAAGTGCAATTATTTCAAATGATTTAATACAAAATGTACCTTTATTGGGTTATTTACTTTATCCATTAGGCCTTCTTCTATAAAACGGATTTCTTCGCGGATCACTACAGAAACAAAATTCGCTGTTATTATCCCAAACAATTCAAATAAACAATGAAGTAATGAATAAAGAAAATAAGGGAAAAAGATAAAAGGGGGAAAGAAAACACTTGAGAAAGGTAGAAAGATTGAAGTCATCTTTTATTTTTTATTTATTTATTTTTTTAATCATTCACTTATATTTTTTTGGTTCGGAAACTACTATATCACAAAATCTAAAGCTGCAATTTTGGCTGAGACGGTGCTGTGTTGGATTGATAATTGGCAAAAAAAAAAGCAAGGGAATGAAGAGAAGGAAGTAAAATAAACCTTTCATCCTTTTTCACTCCTCCTCTCCCCTTCACACCCAGACACCTCGCAGCCCACATTTACTGAAAGTAGCGAAATGAGAGACTATCGCTATCTTGTAACGTAAACTTGCCTCCTTAAATCAGACATCTAGAGGCAAGCGAGGAGGAAAACAGTGATAAAGGAAACCAAAACGGGCCATATTTCTACTTAAAGTAACCTCGTCTTCTGAGAAATTTTTTGTCTGACGAGCAGACACTTTGAATGAGATAATTAATGATAAAACAGTGCTCTCAAAAAAATTCATACTACCACTTAAAAAATACATAGCATTTACTTACTTATGAGCGAGTCGCATAGTCTGTCCAACTCAGCTTTGCTTTCGCTCTCTGTGGGCTCGATCATTAGGGCAGTGCTCACTGGCCAAGATACAGTGGGTGCATGAAAACCTATAGTAAAATTGAGAAATTGAACGTTATCATCTCCATTCAAAAGAACAGTTTTAACACTGTTTCGTAAAATAAAATATGATAGTCCCATTTGACCAACCCCTGTCCGCCCAAACACCAAGGCGACCGATCACAACGTTCTGAGCAGATTCTTTGTTGTTATGGCACCGATTACATATTTTTCCGCGCTTGGCACGTGTTACATATTTTCCCGCGCTTTGCACCCGTCATTCGTTTTCCCGCGCTTTTTATCAGAACCTCGTTTTCACGCAACAAGCAACATGCTTCCCAGCAATATTGGTTCTAGTTACATGTTATCTTGTGTTTTGAGCCGTGAAAGACGGTTTCATTTTGCATTGGCTTTGTTTGGTTCATCCAGACCGTCGTTACATTTCCCTACCATAATCCTGAAGTCTCTTAGCAATGTCGATTGCTTCGATACCAAATTTCTTGAAATCTTTGGCGTCAACAATAAACTCATGGGCACAATAACCTGGTAGAAAGAAAAACGATAAAAACGTCAAGAAACTGTTGAAAGTCACCAACAGTCAAACACACACTTTTTGGACACTTCTGTTAAGTAGACATAAACTCTATTCCAGTTGAAAGGCACACATCTATTCAACAACATTTTTCTAGTCCCGAGAGAGTTTACTAAATGGAAGATCCAAAATTACTTTTCCAAATCTACAGTGACATTACCGTCTTTTCCGATGAACAGAACATCATAGTGATCCTTCAGTCTGGCAGCCATGTAGTTTGCGTTCAAAATTGCAATCTATAAAGTAAAAAAAGCAAAAAGATCACAAAACGATAATCTACGAAGAGGAAAATGCCATGCTAGCCTAGTTGAAGTTGTTACACACAAATCATGCTACAAGAAAACTGTTCTAACCGAATGCCATACTGTTTACTCGTAGATGGCTCCACTTTAAGGAAATATCTGAATAACATAAAAAAGGAAATAATGATTCTAACCTTAGTTGCATGTGCGAGACCCTTGGGGCCCATAAGTTTGATGTACGACCAGGAAATGGGTAAAATAGCACTGGAGCCATATGGAGCTGCTGAAATGACCCCAAATGGATGGGTACGTTCACCTCTGGAACTCTGAGGTGCAACCACGGGATGGGACGGCAAGAATGGAATGAGGTGCTTTTTCCTGCGGGGGAATTAAACAAACGGTTAAACTTGGAGTCGAAAGTAACATTCATCTGTTTTAATATCTTTAGAATAGTTTGTTATTGACTCATCATCGTCTTCCTCATTATCCAGTGCACTTTTTATTGATCTTCAATTCACAGACGAGCAAACGACAACAATCAACATAATACCTTCTAAAAAATATGTTTTGTCCAGGCACTACACGGAGAGCTAATCCTAACCCTTAGCCATTAGAAAAAAAAAGTCCGGAAGTCTTGATTACATTTGGTTGGTAAAGAACTAAAGAAGAGTGACATCACGATTTTCAATTACACCAAGTCAAACCATGCCAAGAGTGAACTGTATACTTACACTCCGATAGGCCCCATACCAGGTCCTCCGCCGCCGTGAGGAATACAGAAGGTTTTGTGGAGATTTGTGTGCATAACATCGGCGCCATAATCCGCTGGTCGACAAATTCCAACCTGTTACAAGAAACAAGTAACTATTAGAAGGTAATTTCAAACACAAAAGACGCTAAAAAAAATAGCCCATCACGATTTTGCAAAGATCTCACTTCAATCGACCCAAATCATCGTCTCGACCAAATCATCGTCTCGACTTGTTTCCGTTCTCTAGACGACGTTGGTATATCTTTGTTTCGTTCTGTTGACGTATTGTTATGTTCGATTTAGTGTCTACTGCCTGCTATTCGTGTATGTACCAAGGAATGATCACACCCAGCGATTTTGACTGAGAAAACGTAATCAGTAAAGGATTTGCTATAAAGCCGAGATTCGGCTTAAGCTCTTTATCGTGAAAGAAAGTCGGGCCAGATGGGCCTATCCTGGTTTGTCAATCGGAACTAAGGGTTTGTTCCATCTTTTGTGCACGCGATGCCTCTCGTACTATTAACAACATAAATATCAACAAACCTGAGCATTTAAGTTAGCGCCATCGAGATAGACTTGTCCTCCATGTTCATGTACCAAGTCACAAATGTCCCTATCAGATTTAAAACAAGCAAGTTATTGTTAATCAATGTCGTCTTTTGACCCCTGACGTAACAAACTTATCTCTGAATTTTGTCGCAGTCGACATAAATTAGTCAACCTCCTCGCTTCAAGAGTTTGACAGGGTTCTGAATGGGCGAAATAAGAAAAAATAACTTAACCAAAGGTGAACAACAAACATATTAAAATAACTCGGAAAAATGTGGCTTTTTATTTCTGATGGAGCAATACAAGATAAAATAAGGGTGACGGAGTGGAGTGGGGTGAAGTGGGGTGAGGTGGCGTGCTAGACGAGCAGCTCTAAAGCAATTGTGTCTAGAAGAGTGGTTTGAAGTATCACTTTTTGTAGGCATCACGCCCTCCATTGACTACTATCCTATCCCTCACTCCCCCTTTACCGGGTCCACCCTCAAACTTAGTCAATAAAGAGAATAACGAGGTAAAATATTAATAATTCAAGGCAAGCTCAAACGGAATTTTTTGTTTCCCAACCTAGTTTATCCATTTCCACACCAACAGTTTTCCTC